GTCATTTCTGGTTTTGTTTCTATTGATAGGTCTCCTGGTTGGTTATAAGTGGTATTTTCCTGCCTTGTAATATTGGCTGGATGCCATATACTGTAGGTGTTACCTTGTTAGGTGCTGGATTTTACTGTATTCCTTTACATACTGTTGCTCTTTGTTCTGGGATGCAGTTAAGTTACTTGAGATCACTTCATTCTTCTGAGATTTTTAAGGCACTTTGAGGGCAAGCAAAGAACAGCCTTTAATGTAGGGCTTCTCTGACCCAGGAGGTCTCTACCCAGCACGGCACATCTGGCTGAAAAGAACACAAACTGGGCACGGCCTTGGGTTCCAAGAATTGTCCCGAATGCTGCTTCCTGGTGGGCCTCTCTCTGGCCTCAGTAGCTTCCTCAAACACACGCACGGATCAGTAAGCAGCCAAAGACTTGGAGGCCCGTTCTGCAAATCTCTGAAGTTCTTCCTCTGTGTATCTTATCCCTCTCCAGTATATTTTCTAGCAAATTCTAGAAATCTTAGCCTCCCCAAGTTTTAATGCTACTGTCTTCTGAATTCAGTAAAGTACCAGGATTTGCTGGGCTCCTCATTCCTTGCACCGTGGCTTAGAGACCCTGAGCTAGGTCACAGTTAGGAAGCACTTTGTTTCCTTCCACTTGGGGATTACTGCCTGTCCTGTGCAGCCTATTGTCCAGGGTCTGATAATCAGTGCTTCTTATATTTTGTCTGGTTTTAGAGTTGTTTAACGCAGGAGGATAGCGGGTCTCCATTATGATCGTGGTCTGAAGTTAAAGTCCCCATAGCATTTTGTTGTCAATTCTCATACGGTACCTTCTGACTTTTATTGTTGTTATTTTTCTCTAATCACTCATTTTCTTCACCAGACTGTAAGCTCTTTGAGTCCAGGGACTAGGTCTTGTTTATGAATAATATCCTGCATATAGCAAGCACTAGAGAAGTCAAGTGACTAAAGAAGGGCAGACCAAAGTTGATAAAAGAAATGAGATATAAAGGTGCTCAGAGTAGTCTGAGGACAGTCTTTCAACTGTGAAACTCGTTTATCTGGTCGTGGGCTGTGACTCCCTAGTATTCAGACTCTGACCGGACCACAACTACCAGGAACATCCTTGCCAACAAGAGCCCAGTGTCACTCTGACAACCCAAGTTCTTGAACCCTGGCCAATTCCCATCAGACCCGTCTACTAAAGAGTTAAGAACTGGCTCTAAGTAGGCAGCATTAATTCTCTAAGACAACAACCTCACCATGTGTAATGAATACTTTGCTATAAAACTCTCAAGAGGGCAAAACAGCATTCCCCAAACAGCACTGACTTTAGAGTCCGAAAGACCTGAAATCTGAATCCTAAGTGTGCTGCCTCCTTGCTGTGCCAACTCAGACAAGTTGCTTGACCTATCTGAACTTTAGTTTCCTTATCAAATGGGGATAATATGTAGTATCTTCTATATATGAAGAGAACCCCGTATATAGTCAACCCTTCATAAATGATAATCAGTATTGTAGGTTTAATTAGGATCCTTTAAGCAAGGATAGAAATCAGCTAAAATGAATGATGAGAAATCTGGACAAAAATATCAGTGGCCACCTGGTAACACTACCTCCAGAGAGAACATTTACTTGGAGGCCAACCAATGTGCGAATATGCACTGGGCAGGACGCTTTGCCTAATAATTACAAACCGCAAGCTGAGGAATGCCAAACGATCTGTTTTCTAGCAGACGGGTGGTTTCTTCTGGACGTGTACCTGTAAGTATGTCTGTCTGTCTGCGCCTCAGACACAGAGAACCGCAATCACACGCGCATACCAAAAAAAAGCTGGTAGGTACTGGGACACCTATGTTGGCAGAAAGAAGAGAGTGAAGGTGTGTTTGGTGGGGAAAAGTGAGGGAAAATGGGCACAAAAAGCATGAGAAGATGAGTGGTCTCCAAGCTCACACAAGACGCTAATAGAATTTTTCAAACTACTAGGTCTCTTTCTTAACATACTTATCAGAACTTTTGTAAGAAGTAGCTTAAGGCTCAGACCTTTGAACAAACTGAGATTTACTTGTTTATTTTTAAAGATTTTTATTTTATTTATTTGACAGAGAGAGAGACAGCGAGAGAGGGAACACAAGCAGGGGGAGTGGGAGAGGGAGAAGCAGGCTTTCCTCTGAGCAGGGAGCCCGATGCAGGGCTCGATCCCAGGACCCTGGGATCATGACCTGAGCCGAAGGCAGACGCTTAACAACTGAGCCACCCAGGCGCCTCTGAACAAACTGAGGTTTAAAAGACAGCCATCGAGGGGCACCTGGGTGGCTCAGTCGTTAAGCATCTGCCTTTGGCTCAGGTCACGATCCCAATGTCCTGGGATCGAGCCCTGCATCGAGCCCTGCATCGAGCCCTGCATCGAGCCCTGCATCGAGCCCCGCATCGAGCTCTTTGCTCACAGTGGGAAGCCTGCTTCTCCCTCTCCCATTCCCCCTGCTTGTGTTCCCTCTCTTGCTGTGTCTCTCTCTGTCAAAAAAATAAATAAAATCTAAAAAAATAAATAAAAGAGAGCCATCGAAATGCTTTAAGGAGTAAATATGAAAGGTTCAAAGAAAGTTTAAGGAACAAATTTTTTCAGCTCAAGGAAGAGAAGATTCAGGAGTAGGTGACTCCCAGCAAATATAGAAAGGATTATGCAAAAAAAAAAAAAAAAAAAAAAAAAAGGAGGGGTGGTCATCTCTACTCTATCTCTAGTGATGAATAAAATGAAAGGGAATAGGCTCAGTTGTGGTGGAAGAGGCCAGTTCTCATGGCTACACAATTTTCTAAGGGATGTAGTGAGATTTCTTTTCCTGGAAATCTTCAAAAACAGACTAGACGTCCACTTTTCTAAGTATAACAGAGGTACCACATTGCTGAGGCTCACTCCTGGAGTGCTCCTTACTCTGTGTCCACCCAGGGGCGCCATCGACAAAGGGCTCAAGCTTCTCTCTTAAAACTACCACAAGTGAGCAGAGAGCGAGGCCGGGTCTGGCTGGAGACCACACATCTGCTTTCACTTTGAAAGAGCCACATGCAGAGTGCTGGGCTGTGGGCTGGTTCCCCGGAGGGCACAGCTATGTGGGAGGGGGCCTGGCTGGGAGAGGTGTGACAGGTTACAGGGGTGCTCACGGCAACAAGGAGAAAGTTTTCTTTACAAGGCAACAACTAGAACACTGGCCTCTGGTAGATAGAAAACAATGGGATTGCCAAGCTGTCTATGAAAAACAAAACCTGAATCTAAAGCTACGATGATCTTGGGGCGCCTGGGTTGAGCATCTGCCTTCGGCTCAGGTCGTGATCCCGGGGTCCTGGGATTGAGCCCTGCGTTGGGCTCCCTGCTCAGTGGGGAGTCTGCTTCTCCCTCTGCCTCTGCCCTTCCCCCCCCACCCCCGCTCATGCTTTCTTTCTCTGTCTCTCTACCAAATAAATAAATAAAAATATTAAAAAAAAATAAAGCTATGATGAGTTGAAGCCCACTACTGTCTGTCCCAGACAAACAGAACCAGGCGCTTGGTTCTACAAGCAAGCCAAGAGCTGAGGACTCTCCCTTCTCCGGCACTAGCAGAGGTAACAGTTTCCTTAGAGAGTAAGAAATAGGTAATCTTGGGCGCCTGGGTGGCTCAGTTGGTTAAGCGACTGCCTTCGGCTCAGGTCATGATCCTGGAGTCCTGGGATCGAGTCCCGCATCGGGCTCCCAGCTCAGCGGGGAGCCTGCTTCTCCCTCTGACCCTATCCCCTCTCATGCTGTTTCTCTCTCTCTCTCTCAAATAAATAAATAAAAAATTAAAAAAAAAATAGGTAATCTTATCGAATCCTCTAGTTTCTGTGATTCCATGAAAATCACTACAAGGTTGTGCTACATACGGGTCACATCCACAGTAGTGAACAACTGTCCCCTGGATTCAGGGCATAGAATTCGAGGTGGTGCCCAGCAGCACAGCAGGTGTCCCGGGGGTTAGAGAACCAGAACACGTGGTCTCGGGGTCTCGGGCGAGACACGCCATAACCGAACCTCAAGGAGAAGCAGCGACCAAAGGAGGGTTTCCTACGTGACATGTTGGGTCCGGAAGTAAATTCTTCAGCTGTGTTCCGAGCAGTGTCAAACCTTATGTTAACCACCTCACAGTGATTCCCACCGGAAGTAAAAGCTCCAGGATGGAGACCTATTGAGATCCCAAAGCCCCCCCAAACAGGGCTTTTGTGGTACCATATGCCCCAGCAGTCCAGTGTTTGCTATGGCCCAGCCCGCATGTTGGAAAGCACTGCCCAAATCAGTTTTGACAAGACAGCTAGCGTGCGTCAGATGTGCTAGTGCAAAAAAAGAAAAAAAAAAAAAAAAAAAGGCTGAGAACCATCGCTCTCTAACATAACTTCTATAGAAGGGCAGAAATCAAGTTAGATAGGGATGCACAGCAAAGCCGCAAATATATAAAAATACCAAAGTTTCCTAAAGATGATTTGTTCACACTTTATATAAGACTGGGAAAACATCCGTTGTCACCAGCAGTGAACAGCACTCTTACTGTGGTGCTGTTATGACCAGGGGGCCCTGGAAGCACGGATGGATATGCAGAGGGCACCAAAGCTGCCTTTGGGAACCAGTGACTCTGCTCTGTGACTGTCTGGAATGGGGAGTACAGATCCGTAGCCCTGGGTGGAGTTTCTCTCTCTGCAGAGCTAAGCGGTCCTCCCCATCATCAAATAAACAACTCTAACGTCACCACTACTGCAACCCAGACACCCCAGATGGTAGCTTAATCGCCTGAAAGAATTAATAGTGCACCTCTGAGCACATTATTCACCCAGAGAATAGTTTAGGCAATGGGAAGAATCTGGCCCATTATACCCCACACAATCGCTAAATAATATGCAATCATAAAAATGAAGCATGGCATATGGTAATCTCTCTACTATATTGAGATTCATTGTAATAAAAGTGCTGTTCAAACCCTTATGTGTAGAAATCTGAAAGGCATACCTTTCTTCTCTGGAAGAAACATTATAATAAGACAAGCCAGTCCTCCTAGGCACAGAAATGCCGCTAAGGTCCGCTTCCGACCAAACCTAAACAACAGAAAGACATTACACATTTCTCTTGAGGATCTTATAAATTCATCTGCTTCGTCTCCCGAAACTTCTATCTGAAATGTCCCCAGTTTCATTATATATGTTCATCGTTGCTTAAGGAATGGGTGGCAGATGTGACTGACCAGGACATAAAATACGTAACCATCACAGAACAAGAGAAAACTGGCCAATTTCAGGACTGAATGACGTGTGCAGGAAAAGAACAGAGAATCATTCTATTGATTTCTGTGAGGGTTCACCATGTTCCAGGCAGTGCTGAATGCTTTCCATCGAGTATCTTACTTAGTCCTCACAATAAATCTGTAAGGCATGCACTGTGCTCTCCATCTTCCAGAGAATGGAAATGAACCATGGAGAACGGAGTCTTTAGCTCACTTCCTCTTCTCGTTACATGAATCTTTAGCAGTTCCTTTTTTAAATTTTATTTAAAATCAATTAATTCACATATAGTGTATTAACAGTTTCAGAGGTAGAGGTCAGTGATTTATCAGTTGCAAATAACACCCAGTGCTCATTGCATCACATGCCCTCCTTAACGTCCCTCACCCAGTTACCCCATCCCCCCACCCACTTCCCTCCAGCAACCCTCAGTTTGTTTCCTACGATTAAGGGTCTTTTATGGTTTGTCTCCCTCTCTGATTTCGTCTTGTTTCATTTTTCCTTCCCTTCCCCTATGTTCATGTTTTGTTTCTTAAATTCCACATATGAGTGAAATCATATGCTGTCTTTCTCCGACTTATTTCATTTCGCGTAATACCCTCTAGTTCCATCCACGTTGTTGCAAATTTTAAACCCTGTAAAACAAGGCTTTCTCTCCTAAAAATACAAACTGAAAAAAATTTCTTGTTAGTATGTCAGAATTAAGTGACATGTATTGCACACTTTATTAAGGGAACTAATTTTCAAAGAATTGCTGGAGGCTTGGATGAAAGGCACTGGCATTAACAAGCCTACCGTCCACTAGGGGCCTATGACTTGCTAGGTCCCCTGTAGAACTTCCATAGTACTTGTCCTTTATAACAATTCTGCCAGGGAATTTTATAAGCCCTAGTTTAAGGATAAGTACATGGAAGCTTTACTTGTCAAAGCCATCACCTGTCAAAGCCATCAAAGTAACATGTGGCTGAGACTAGATTTGAACTCAGTGGTAGTGGCTGGAAGACAGGATGACACGTGGGTCTCCAGGTCATTGTGCCTCATTTAACATCAGTACTGAGTGCCTTTCAACGGACAGGTGCCACGCTAGGCAGGCAGTGGGGACACAAAGCCATACAGGCTACTCCCTGGGACAGCATCCTTCTAAAACCACAGGTGGTCATCCGAGGTGAGCATGGAATCTATGACAGCACAAAGGAGGGGTATCTGGCTCACTGGAGGTGATGGGGACCGATTTCTGAATAGACAGCCTGACTCGGTTCTTGGACCATGGTGACAGCAAGCTCAGTCCCTAACAGAGGGGTCAGCAGAGACAACCGGGACCATCCCCAGAGAAAAGCCTTCAAATGAACAGAATCCAAACCTGCCCTTCAAGATGCACTGAACCCACCATCCACAACAACAGCACCAAGTATAGTGCAAAAGGAATGCTGTTTGGGTTAAAATGATGATTTCTGGATAATGGGAAACGGCACAATCTGGCTGGTTCACACTGAATGGGATTTTCAGTTGCTCTGGTCAGGGCTCAGTAGCAGAAGCGACCTAATAGAGAAACTGAGGACATGGCGCTCTGTTTAAAAAGTACTGTAAAACTCCCCACTAACAAGTAGCAAAAGCAGGGTGTATTTCTCCCCTCCACAAAGTCAAGTGGGTCTTAAGAGGTAAGAAAAGTCTTTCCAGGTCCTCCAATTCTATGCCTTGTGTAAGAACCTCTACATGATAGGGGCTGGGTCGAAGGAGCTCTATCTACACAGAGCCAATAATCCTATCTCTTGGGGCTAACAAACTACACACGGACTATCCAAAACCCTTCCGGTGGTAGTGCATTTTAATACTGGATTGAAAACCTATGGAAAAACTCATAAACATGAAACCCAAGCAATACCACACTAAAAAATGAATTCCAACTGTATTTGGTCTAAAAAGAATTCTAATCACCCTGGAGTACTGAGCAGATACTGCCTATGGACAAAGACAATAATATTTAGGTATTTATGGATACAAGAGCAGGATCCTATGTGGGGCACTTCAAATTCAACTATACTCACCATTTTTGGTTAATCAAGTAGATGCAGATAGGGTAAGATGGAATCTCTATGAGGCCGGACAGGGCCAGGTTGGCATAAATATTTCCGCCTAGATCCCCTGTGCTCAGAGTGAGGCCATAGTACACGAAGCTGCACACAAACCTGCAATTGGGGTAAGAGACAAGAAGGCCAAACGAGAAAGCACATGAGAATCTGCCAGAGAAGATCCAATCACTGGTTCTGTATGATGTCATCTGTCTTAAGCAATCAGCTTGACATTCCCACTGAGCGTTCCTATCCCAATCTAAATATACACTAGGAAAAAATACAAATGAAAGGGGCCTTGGAAGTTACTGAGCTACGCCTAGATGCTCTCTAAAGCAGATGAGTGGTCAGCTCCTGAAAGAGCAAAGACATCGTCTGTCCTTTCATCAAGCATATCTGCATTTAATAGAAGACAATGCCTATTCTTGCTTTATTTAATCCAGCAGTTTATGAATACTTGCAGTAGGCGATAAACGGCTCTAGGAAAGAGCTCCCGAGGGGAAAGCCAACAGGGGATGGTGTTGAGAAGGCGCACTGAGAAGTGGCTGGATGATCGGTGGGTCATCTGCAGGCCAGAAGTGACTGGCCCTCCAACCCCCTGACCAGGTTCTCGACCCACCCAGACAGGTAAGAGAAGACCAGGAGCCCAGCGGAGGCAGGATCCTCCAGGAGGGTCAGCTGAGGAAGGACCCTTTGAGAAGCCATTGGTTTATTTCTGCACTTGGGGAGAGGCTCCTGGGCGGCAGGCACTGGGCCAGGCACTGAGCTCACCTCCTATGAGCCAGGAACGGAGGAGCCCAAAGTGCCATCCTGAAGCTCCAAGGTGGGGCTTTATCAAACAGAGTGAAGTTTCCTGTGCCTAAGGAAACTGAATTATGAAAACAAAACGAAACAGAACAGAACGAACAGAAACAAAACCCTAAAACTAGGCTTTACTGGTCTATGGATATATTTTGGAAACCAAACATTTCTATAAAATGTACTACAGGCTTTGGAAGTCCATCAGTTTTTACATTTTTGCAATTTGCTTTGACGGGTGTTTATTACAGGGAAGTTTCTGTTTGTTTCCCTTAGAAAAAGTCCGATAAGCTGTGACTATGATGAGATCAAACAGGAGAAGGAAAGCTTTCTCTCCATCTCTGCCAAAACAGCGAAGTGGGCCAAGTGCCCTGGGCTATTAAGAAGGGGCAGCAGTGAACAGGAGAGGGATGGGAGGAGGGGAGAGAGATGTCTAGAGCTGGATGCTTAGTGGGGCATCCCTCCCTGGCAAATGAGCCAGTGGCAGCAGCTACTTCCTATTACAGCTCACTGGATGGAGCTGTCACTCACGTACTAAGGATGATGAGCAGTGTCGGAGCCAGGACGTCATTTGTAAGGATGCAAAGTGACACCGAGCTGCCTGTTTTCCCTGTCCCCTAGCACCCTGTCTGCAAGGAGTAAGCTAAACAAATTTAAACCCATGCAGCTAAACAAATTTAAACCCATGCATCAGGAGGCACCCTCCTCTGCCATGTGTTGTATGCATCAGCGTGTGTCTACTTTGCACTTAAAATAGAAATCCCGGGGCGCCTGTGGGGCTCAGTCGGTTAAGCGTCCAACTCTTTTTTTTTTTTTAAAGATTTTATTTATTTATTTGAGAGAGAGAGAATGAGAGACAGAGAGCACGAGAGGGAAGAGGGTCAGAGGGAGAAGCAGACTCCCTGCCGAGCAGGGAGCCCGTTGCGGGACTCGATCCTGGGACTCCAGGATCATGACCTGAGCCGAAGGCAGTCGCTTAACCAACTGAGCCACCCAGGCGCCCAAGCGTCCAACTCTTGATTTCAGCTCAGGTCATGATCTCAGGGTCGTGAGATCGAGCCCTGCATCTTGGGATTCTCTATCTCTCTCTCTCCCTGCCTCTCCATCCACCCCCCTTCCAAGCTCACTCTCACACACACTCGATCAATCAATCAATCAAATAGAAATCCCAGTGAAATAATTCCAACCATGGAAACACACATATTTAAACCCAGTCGGGATGGTAGCAAGTCAGGCATAAATAAACAAGGCCAGATCAGACACGAGAGGCATGCAGAAGCCGCTGGTGGTGGGTGAGCACGGGGAGAGCATGCGCAAGGAGGGCCTATGGTCCCACGGTGGGGACTCTGCTTGCGAGGTTCCTTAATGGCAAGTTGGTCATTGGGATGCGTAATTACAGCTATTAAAATCATTTCAATCCTTTTTATGGGCCCCAAGCAAAATTTAGAATGCTTGCATAGTATTTAACAGTATATTTAGGGCATCAAAGAACTATTTAAAAAGAAACTAGTGTGGGAAATAACCAAAGGAACAGATGTGAACCACAGAGGTATTGTTTTGCTCCCCGGTAAGGGCTTTCTTCAATGACAGACCCACAGAAAAGACTTCAGAATTTTACGGCATCTTCAGAAACAACAGCAGTTTGGTGGAATGACACTGTCTCTATTGTTGCATATTTCAGCATTCGGAGCCCAGGGGGAAGAGGTTTATTCAAGAAGAACTCCTTTGGCTGTGTAAGGTAAGAAAAGAAACAGGGACATTCTCCCTGGCTCCCAGGCTACTTTGTTTGTTTGTTCGTCTGTTTTTTATCCCCTGAAGGCCAGAATCCAAAAGTTAATCTGCCTCAAAAAAACCCCCAAAAACCTAAACACAAGAAGTAAATTATCCTCAAGAAGCAGGCAGAGAGTTTGACTGTCTCTATGACATGCAAATGTGGAGTTTTATGGAGGCTGAAGCACCTGAACGTATTTTGTAAATGTCTGCAATAGGCAGAACCCAGATGAGTAGCTCCTGGGCTGGGTCGTCAGCTCTGGCTTTTCAAAGTTCCCTTAATCTCCATGTCTCCAAGCTTGCGTCCCCTGTTCCACATTTACTCTGCATCTGTGATATTCCTGCACGGTGCTGGGTCTGTGGGGAAGGCGGCAGTGGATATGCCCTGGCCCCTAACCATACAGGTGGCAGCCAGTGCTTGGCTGGGTAGAAAAAGAGAATCATGATATAGAAAAAATATGCACAGCTTCTTCCCCTCAATCTGCTGTTCTTTACAGCTTTATATCTAAGATCACTTTCATATAAAATTATTCTCCTTAATCCCCACATGAAAATGTAGGTTTCTATGCAGGCTTCATGGCAAATATATTCCAACCACAGTACAAAAGTCCTTCGAGCCAGTAACTATGCTGTTCCACACCCAATCCTGGACCCAGTCTATGGCACCTTAGCAGAATGGACAGGCATACCTAGGAGATACTGCAGGTTCTAGACCACTGCAATAAAGTGAGTATTGCAGTAAAGCAAGTCAGATGAATTTTTCGGTTTCCCAGTGCACAGGAAAGTTATGTTTACACTATATTGTGGTCTGTTAAGCGTGCAAAAGCATTGCATCTAAAAAAACAATGTAGATACCTTAATTTAAAATATTTTATTACTAAAAAATGCTAATCATCATCTGACCTTTCAGCGAGTCCTCATCTCTTTGCTGGTGGAGGGTCTTGCCTTGATGTTGATGGCTGCTGATGGAGCAGGGTGGTCACTGCTGCAGGCTGGGGTGGTTGAGGCAATTTCTTAAAATAATACAACACTGAAGTTGGCCGCATCAATTGACTCTTCCTTTCATGAGCAATTTCTCTGTAGCATGTGATGCTGTTTGATAGCATTCTATCCACAGTAGGACTTCTTTCAGAATTGGAGTCAATTCTCTCAAACCCTGCTGCTGCTGTATCAACGAAGTTTATGTAATATTCTCAATCCTTTGTTGCCATTTCAACAATCTTCATAGCATCTTCACCAGGAGTCGATTCCATCTCAAGAAACCACTTTCTTTGCTCATCCCATAAGAAAGTGACTCTTCACCTGTTCAAGTTTGATCATGAGATAGCAGCAATTCAGTCCCATCTTCAGGCTCTACTTCTCATTCTCTTTCTCTTGCTATTTCCACCACACCTGCAGTTACTGTCTCCACTGAAGTCTTGAACCCCTCAAGGTCATCTATGAGTGTTGGAATCAACTTATTCCAAACTCTTGTTAATGTTAGTATTTTGACCTCTTCCTATGAATCATGAATGTTCTTAACGTCTTCAAGAATGATGAATCTTTTCCAGAAGGTTTCCAATGAACTCTCCCCAGCTCGATGAAAGGAATCACTATCTACGGCACCAATATTGTTATGAAATGTATGTCTTAATTAGGAAGATTTGAAAGTTGAAATGACTCCTTGATCCATGGGCTGCAGAATAGATGTGTTGGCAGGCATGAAAACAATATTGATCTCATGTCTCCATCAGAGCTCTTGGGCCCCCAGGTATATTGTGAGTGAGCAGTAATATTTTGAAAGGAATCTTTTTTTTTTTTTTTCTGAGCAGTAGGTCTCAATAGTGGGCTGAAAATATTTGTAAACAGATGTGCTGTCATCCAGGCTTTGTTGCTCCCTTTAGAGATGGGCAGAGTAGATTTAGTGTAGTTCTTAAGGGCCCTAGGATTCTCAGAATGGTCAGTGAGCACTGTCTTCCACTTTAAGTCACCAGCTGCATTAGCCCCTATCAAGAGTCAGCATGTCCAGGTACTGACTTCCCTTCTCTTGCTACAGAAGTCCTAAATGGCATCTTCTTCCAAAAGAAGGCTGTTTCATCTATGTGGAAATCTATTGTTTAGTGTAGCCACCTTCATAAGTTGTCTTAGCTAGATCTTCTGGAGAACTTGCTGCAGCTTCTGCATCAGCACTTGCTGCTTCATCTTGTGCTTTTATATTATGGAGACGGCTGCTTTCCTTAAACCTCATGGATCAACCTCTGTTAGCTTCAGACTTTCCTTCTGCAGCTTTCCCACCTCTCTCAGCCTTCAGAGAATTGAAGAGAGTTAGGGTCTTGCTCTGGATCAGGCTCTGGCTTAAGGGAATGTTGTGGCTGGTTTGATCTTTTGTCCAGAACACTAGAACTTTCTCCATATCAGCAATAAGGCTGTTTTGCTTTTAATCATCCACGTGTTCACTGGAGTAGCACTTCTAATTTCCTTTAAGAACTTTTCCTTTATTCACAACTTGGCCAACTGTTTGGTGATGAAGCCTAGCTTTCAGCCTATCTTTGGCTTTCAACGTGACTTCCTTGCTAAGCTGAGTCATTTCTAGCTTTTGATTTGAAGTGAGAGACATGTGACTCTTCTTTTCACTCGAACACATAGAGACCACGGTAGGCCTAATTAACTGGCCTAAGTCCAATATTGTTGTGTCTCCAGGAATAGAGGCCCAAGAGAGGGAGAGACATGGGGGAATGGCCAGTCAGTGGAACAGTCAGAACACACACAACATTTATTAAGTTCACTGTCATATACAGATGTGGTTCGTGGTGCCCCCAAACAATTATAACAGTAACACCAAGGATCACTGATCACAGATCACCATGACAAATCTAATACTAACGAAAAAATTTGAAATACTGTGAGAATTAACAAAATGTGACACAGAGTCACGAAGTGAGGAAACGCTATTGGAAAATGGTGCCAGTAGACTTGCTTGATGCAGGGTTGCCCACAAACCTTCAACCATAAAACACACAATCTCTGAGAAGTACAGTAAAACGTGGAGCGCCCATACAATACTACAACACGGGTGCAGTTCACACCCTGTACGCACCGCCCGTCCACTTCTCCCCTTTCCGCTTCATTCTTTAAGCGGAGCCATCTTGAATCATTTGGTGCGATGCACATGAATGCTGACAGCATGTTGGGTGGCGGGTAGGAATAAGCTAAGCGAGAAAATCAGATTCAGAGAATGCCTATCTGTTCATGCGCTGATTTGCACACGTGGCTTCGAGTCCATCATTTCACACTCCCAGGCCTCCACTTGTGCAAGGAACAACACTGCCCACCCCCCGGGAGTGCGCGAGTGAGCAAGTGAGAATGTCACACGGAGTACAGGACAGGGCGCTACAACTAAAGCATGCTCTCTGAACAACTTGATGCTAACACCAAAGGTAGGGACTTTAAACCCCTTCTTAGAAACTCTTCTAATATGCTTGCTTCCCACCCCCCCCTTTAGTGGAGGTTGTTGGGGGTACTTGAGTATTTACAGGAAAGAGCTCAGGAGCAAAGATGTGTTTCTGCTGTCTATTTACTCAAGTTCGGTAAACCTGCCATCCATAAACTGCGGGTTCCTCCTTGACTGGAGGGTGCTGCGAAAGCAGGGCTGAGCGCAACATGGGCATTAAGAGACATAGGACTGGGCGCCTGGGTGGCTCAGTTGGTTAAGCGACTGCCTTCGGCTCAGGTCATGATCCTGGACTCCCAGAATCGAGTCCCGCATCAGGCTCCCTGCTCGGCAGGGAATCTGCTTCTCCCTCTGACCCTCCCCCCTCTCATGCTCTCTCTCTCTCTCATTCTCTCTCTCAAATAAATAAAAAAAAAATAAAATCTTCAAAAAAAAGAGACAGAGGACTTGTTCTTGTGAAAACCACTTCAAGCTGACAAATCAGGTAAGGTTTTCTGTAACCCTGCAGAAGGAACACATTATCAACAGCCCATTAGCAACCTGAGTTGAAGATCAAGACAACACCCCTTAGGTATAATTACCAGATGAACATCAGGGTCAGCGTGTTCCCCAAGAGGATCCGGTAACGGAATAGATCCAGGAAACTTCCCGTCTCCCTGTGGCTCCTGCTGGCTGGATATGTTAGGGAGAACGTACACTTGAACTTGCGGTTCCTCTTGGCAATGAGGTACAGAGCCGCTTCAGCCTCACTCAGTCGACCCTGGGAGTATAACCAACGAGGTGATTCAGGAATGAATCTGAAAGAGACGTCATTAAAGGCTGTATATTCATATAGGTACACGGGCACACGAAGGAGACAATTCACCTAGGAGTATGTGGATTCCCTCACCACAACCGGATTCCGTGTGAGGATTAAAACTCTCTCTCCCAATGACAGGTCAAAGAGAGAGGGGACCACTTTCAACGGCGTGCAAGGGTTAAAAGGTGGTGGCTTTATGAATGGAAACCAAGAACATACTTCCAAAACAGCAGTTAAAAAAAAAAAGAAGGTAAGCCGTAGGCATTTACTTTTAAACAAATTTTAATAGATAATGCTAAATTAAGCCTAGAATACTGAGTGATAAAAATTTTTCATCAAGCACAAGTCAGAGAGAGCATTCTAAACCCTAGCCTAGTGTGAGAATAATACTACAGAGATAGCAGGTGTTTAAGTTCTGACAAAGCCTCACAAAGAAGATAATTTCTATTGTCTCATCAGAAAAAATAAATTTTAAAACATGTTTTTAACATAGTGATACATTATTAAGAAGGCAGAGATTAAGACTCTACATAAAAATCAAATAGGGCTCATCACATCTCAACTACTTTCAAGCATTTCCTGCTTCACAATACTCGAATCAGTCGACACACTCGCTTTACTATGTCCTCAGGATATTTCCTGCCCCCCCAAGACCTTAAAGAATAAAAGTCATTTTCTGGTTAACTTCCAGGTACCAAGTAATTATTTTCTGCTGTAACTACAAAGTACTGAACAGTTATATTGCCACTGATATTTTCCAATAGTTTTAAGACTTAGCTCTCTAATGTGTCTTTTCCCTCTTCACACTTCTGTGTGCACAGCTAGAGGACTTGTCAAAGACAAACTGGGACAGGAACAGGGACACCTTGTTTAGTAAATATAGCATCCAGTACCTTTTGATCTAATGTGACATGATTTGCTTAAAATGAAACTTCTACCTATAAGTACCACTGGCTATTGAAGATGCCTTTTAGAATTCTCCGTGCCTTTCCGTAAGGATAGTGAAGTGGCAACAAATACCATGGAATCTGGAACTTCGTGGACAGTAGTCCATCAATAACCACTTGTTGAGCACTTTCATTTTGTATCGAGCGATGTAGCAGGTGCTCAGAGGAAACAAGAAGGCAGAAATTCTCGCAGAGCTTTGCTACTGGGGAGAGAATATTTGTGCACATTTGGTCATCAACAAAAGCAGGGACTCAGGCCTCCTACAACAGCCTGAAAAATCCCTTGATTTACAGCATCATTACCATGCGATTATTATCACTAATACACAAGCAGATAATCAAGCAAAATATTGTTCTGCTGGGAGTTAGGTCTGCCGATCATCAAGCGGACCCACTGGCCCTAACAACCAGGTGGCTTACGAGCTACCATGTAAACCACCTGATTGACTCTAAATGCAAATATAAAGAACATAAACAAAGCCTACGATGAAGATGGAGAGTACCGCTGGGAGGGAAAAGTAAGTGAGACACCAGAAATCTGTTGTAATAAAAATTAAAACCAAGGGGGACTGAAATACTAACAGTCACTATCTTTGGGTCATTTAGGTCACTGTCCCCTTTCCCTCAAACTTCCCTGTTTTCAGAATGGTTGATAAGCATTAGTCACTGTTAAAATGTTTACATTACTGCTAAATGTTTATAAATCCTTTTTATACTTGAGAGATATTCAAGCTTTGGAAATTTGAGTTACTAAACTATTTCTGCGTGGGGAAGGGTCTGTCTTGTACACAAACCGAGGACCTGACTGTCCCCACATTTGCAGAAGCCAGTACGCTTACTTACACAAAGGCTCACCTTGCTGCCAACGGATGGACTCGGGAATATAAATTCCAATACATGCAGATTTTGCATATCAAACAGCAAGACGTGTTTTTAAAAGAAAAAGCAGTCTTTGAACATGCTGCCCTCTACACAGTGCTGGGGCCACCTTCAGAAGCTACAGTGCTAATTTAACAATGTTGTCTCTGCTCAAAATATGTCCTGTGAATTTCTTAGGAGGTGGAATATCTTTGTAAAGTATGGAGGCACTGATTTTTAGAGTAAAACTGTTCAAATCCACATACTGTGAAAATGAGGAATTTTTAAACTACACACTAATGTTTCTAGTAAAACAAAAAAAACAAGGTATGACTCTAAAATAATGTGACTTTTTCTTACATTGCTAACAGCTAATTCTTTTTTTTTTAAAGATTTATTTATTTGAGAGCGAGAATGAGAGAGAGAGAGTACATGAGAGGGGGTAGGGTTAGAGGGAGAAGCAGGCTCCTTGCTGAGCAGGGAGCCCGATGCGGGACTCGATCCAGGGACTCCAGGATCATGACCTGAGCCGAAGGCAGTCGCTTAACCAACTGAGCCACCCAGGCGCCCCGACAGCTAATTCTGAAGGCTATTTCCACATATTTTTTGTGCCCACACCTATCCAATGGATCTGAAGGATCATCTGTGCGGAAGGCCCTGGGCTTTGGTGCTGGGGGACGTGTGACCAAGCCCAGCACCTGGAGCTGTCAGGAGGAAGCTCCTGAAGCAGAAAGAGACGGGCTCCAGCGTGAGGTGGAAATAGAACACTCGTAGGGCACGGGGTAAGTGCTGGAGAATTCAGAAGCCAAAGCAAATGACTGGTAGCTGGAGGTGTGATGGGGACAAGTCTGGAGGGGGTAGCATTTGAGCAAACCCGGGAGGCCAGGAGTTAACTAGGAAGAACTGGAGAGCAGGGCGTGGGAAGGGCAGGGGCAGCATCCAGCAGGGGTCCCGGAAGCAGGATGGCACAAGATGACGCCAGAAACTACAAGCAGCTTGCTGTGCCTGGCACACAGGATATGGGAAATGGGCTGGGAGACGATCAGAAAAGATAAACTGCAGGCTGACCGTGGGAAGGCCTAATGGAATAATTATATATTTTGGGTTTACATGCTCTTTTCTCTCTGTTTCCTATTGTTTCCCGACCTGAATTCATCTCCCAGGGTGTGGACGGCCCCACCTAGCACTAGGACCGTAACAAACTCAGACCACATTCAGAAAAGACAGGCAGAACAGCTCATTCCGGCCGTCAAAGTCGCTCTAAAGACTTATTGGCTATTTAAAAAGAAAATTCATTTATCTACCCACATTTACATGACTGCTTATTAGTTCAAGGATGACACTAGGTACCCATTTATTCCAAAAATGTATAATACACGAACTAATGAAATGTTGTTAGTTTCCCTTTCTGGTAGGATTATCTCATTCCAATTCACATAACTAAGTACATTTAATACATTTTGCTTGTTTAAGTATAGGTAAACTATTTCTATTTTATTCATTCTTTAAAGTTTATCTATTTATTTTTAAGTAATCTCTACACCCAATGTGGGGCTCGAACTCACAACCCCGAGATCAAGAGTCCCATGCTCTTCCGACTGAGCCAGCCAGGCACCCCACTGTTATATTCATTTTTGCACTTAATTCTCTTATTTCAAAGAGAATACAAAAACAGATTTCAGTTCGGGTGCCAGGGTGGCTCAGTTGGTTAAGCGACTGCCTTCGGCTCAGGTCATGATCCTGGAGAGTCCCAGGATCGAGCCCCGCATTGGGCTCCCTGCTCGGCGGGGAGTCTGCTTCTCCCTCTGACCCTAACACCTCTCATGTGCTATCTCTCATTCTCTCTCTCTCAAATAAATAAATAAAATCTTTAAAAACAAAAAACAAAACAAAAAAACAGATTTCAGTTCAATCCTCAATCCAGCAAATCTCAATTAGTAGAACTTGAAAAAAGAACGACTACATTAAATATGCATCTGAAGGAAAATTCTGCCACAGATATCGCTCACTCCACTGGCCGAAAATTTTATTTATTCCAAAGATTTTAATGATTCAAATTACAGGTCTGATATCTCAGGAGAAAGCCTTTCACAAGCACATTAAAACTTCTGGTGAAATAAAACTAAAAACTCAAACTTCTTTTTTTTTCCAGATTTTATTTATTTGAGAGAGAGAGAGAGTGCATGAGTGGGGGCAGAGGCAGAGGGAGAAGCAGACTCCCCGCTGAGCAGGGAGCCCGACCTGGGACTCGATCCCAGCACCCTGGGATCATGACCTGAGCTGGAGGCAGATGCTTAACTGACTGAGCCACCCAGGTGCCCCTCAATTGTCAAACTTCTTAAGCACATCATTAAAATGATGAAATAAGAAATGGAATAGTATTACTTCTTTGTGACACAGTATTTATGAGTGAAACTGGTTTCTAAGCCCCAACAAGATAGTCAGTAATGTTAATTTTATGGAGAACTCTGTAAATGTCTCTTAAATATTTGTTTTACTGTTACCAGAGCCTGAGGCTATTTAGGGAAGAATATTAATAAATAATATTATTCTATTATATATTATGTAATATGTATTATATAACAAACACTATTAATGACATTATTAATAAAGTATTTGCTATGGGAAGAAAGAACTTGTAAAAGAGCTCTAAGTTGGGGGCTCGCCTTACAGCATTCAGGGCGCCATGGTGTGACATCTGAGCAAGTTGTTGGGAGCATCCTGCCCTGACCAGGGAATCACCCTTTTACCGCTTTGAGCCATCTACCCTAAGGATTTCTCCCATATCTGAGAGTCTTCCCACGTCCACATTTAGAGGCCCTGAAATAAGGGTCACCTGTAGGACAGATAGTTGCCGCTACATATTGGGTATGAATGGACTGTGATATTTGCAACATTGTACCTGAGTCAGATGCCAAGCACCTGACCTGATCCAGCCTGAAGATCTTCAGGCTTGAGGCATTAGGTTACAAAAGAAACTGGCACCCTGGGTCAACAACTTGAAGGTTAAAATGCAATCTATGGAGACGTTACTTGAAACAAGGGATACCTGCATTCTGAATTAATTAAGCATCTCTCTTCCCAGCAGCTGCCAAGCATTGGACCGCTTGTGGGATTTAGCTCTTCACCAAAGTCAGTTCAGGCAAACTCCTGAAAGGGAATAACGCTGCTCATTGACCCGCATCCTCTTAAGACATTCCTTCTGCATATTAAATTAAACCTCTAAGAGGAAAAACTACTCACAATGACAGGAGAAAGACCACCGTTCCCTGTAGGTTAACCAGAACGGCGAGGGTCCTCCAGGAGCGGATGAAGTATCCCAACAGGGCATACTGGGCAATGCCAACCGCGAAGAAGAGGCCACCGATCGATCCTAATTCAGGGAAAAGACACCTGTTACTGGAGAAAGCACCATCCACACCACCCTTACCAACCCCAGTCACAGAGCCAACGCCTTCTTTGGGAGGTGTCAGCAGGAAAGAAAAGCCTACATGAGTATTGACAGATGAGAAAAGTGGCAGAGAGGCTAGCGAGTGGGCGGAAAAGGAGGAAGCACAGGCAAAGAAAACAAACCACATGTGGTCAAGAAGAATTTTAAGGGTCTGCCCTAGTGCTTTCTGCACTGCAGGCTGTGCTGACATCCGCCTGCACATCAGCTGAAGCTTGGAAGGATGCCTTGCTGGCTGGCAATACGGGTTTTAGGTCATCAGATTATTGCAATACTGAGACCTCATCTTATTACAAAGGTTGTGCCTCAAATCCTCATCTTAAATCACAGGCTACTCTTCATTTCTCCCTCTTGCCCTTCCCCATTTGGTGTATCAGCACCAGATACAGGACATTTTATAGCTCTCTGTTTCTTTCTTTCTTTTTTTTTTTAAAGATTTTACTTATTTATTTGACAGAGTGAGACACAGCGAGAGAGGGAACACAAGCAGGGGGAGTGGGAGAGGGAGAAGCAGGCTTCCCATGGTGCAGGGAGCCCGATGCGGGTCTTGATCCCAGGACCCTGGGACCATGACCTGAGCCGAAGGTAGACGCTTAACAACTGAGCCACCCAGGCACCCCTAGCTCTGTTTCTTGTCTGTCTACATGAAGCGTGGATTTTTGCCAGCACGCTGATAGGGAAAAAAATCAACCATGGAATTGTGAAAAAGACTATGCTTTTCAAAATAAATGCTGAGATGGGTATTAAGTCCACTGGCTTGCCCAATATACATGTGAATTTATACCTCTGACACACCTTCTGTAACTGCTACCATCACAGTGAATAGTAGTCCTCAGTACTATTTACCGCGCAGCCTTTTACATACATTGTCCTATAAAGCAGGTGCCATCCGAGCCCTACACAGAGAGGAAACCGCACCGAGAGGTCAGGGGCCGCTGTCTAGGACATGGAGCTGCGTGCAGGACGGCTGGGACCCTACCTCGTCTGCCTGACTGCGGAGCCTGCGTGCTGTCCCAGTCCTCTCTCTCCACCCTCCTAGGGAGAGGCAGGCTTCTGTGGGCAACCCACAGCGACAGGACCTTTTTGATCTTGCTACAAGAACTTTCTACAAGAATTCTGTAAGAGGACTGTGTTCTTGTTTTCTTGCCCAGAGATGATCAGTTCTCTAGCCATAATGACGTGTCTACTCTGCCCTAGTGAGGAAAAGGGGGGGAGCAGAAGGGACAGCTGAAGTGGAAGCATGTTCAGGACACCAAATCCAAACATGTGGTCCGATAAGTAAGGGAGTGGGGACGCTATGATTTCCCTGGAAATTTAAGATAATCAATAGCTATTACAGTTTCATTAGGGTGCATCAGATAGCACCTGGCTTCCAAGGATAACACTTTCTGTCATTGCTCAGAACAGCTCTCCCCACTCCGATCCTTCAGCAAGTCACTGTCCCATCAAAATCCAGCTCCCATGGCCGTCTTCCCTGCTCCTCTCCTCCCACTGTGTCTAAGCAAGCCCCCGTCATGTTTCACGGGCCAACCACAATCACCTCCTGAATGACCCCTCAATTTCTCCTCCAATTGCTCTCTCTCCACCCATGGTCCATTCTCCACACCTCTGCCCCAGTCGTCTTTCTGTATCCTATTGGATCCTATCACTCCACTATTTAATTCGCCCACTGGCTTCTTACTGCACTTCAAATAAAAACAAATTCCTCATTTGGCCTAGCACAGGCCCTACATCATCTGGTCCCTCCAACTTGTCCCTCCCCTGCCTAGGAGATAAATATTTAATAAAAATACAATAAGAAAGTGCTGGGAAAGGAGTGTCTAGGCTTTCTTATGTCTGCACTATTTTTCAGTTTAAGGTGTAAACGGTTAATGCCTTCCCGAGGAAACTGACACTCTTGGAATAATCTGGAGGCAAGCTCACCATCTATGAGGCAGGTCCTAGGGAGACTTTCTACAGAGGGATATGAATAAAATGACTTATTCAAGGTCATACAGAACAAACCCCGGAAAGCAAATCTAATGGTGAGATAGAGTGCCTCAAGTCCAAGTACATTTTTAGATTCTGGGGTTCAGCTGGTTCCCTGCGAGGTTTTCTGGGGCAGCTCACCATGTCCGTCATCTGCACGGAGTGAGCAGTACCTGCGAGTGCCCAGTAGGCGGTGCCCACACATTCGTTCAGCAGGACGAAGGCCACCAGCGACATTCCTCCGTTCATCACGCCCACCAGGAAGCGAGTTACTGCGAAGAACTCATAGGAGGGGGAAAACCCATTTGCAATAGCAAATAAGATGTCAAGAGCAAAACCTAGAATGACAGGAACAGCAGTCAATAATCCGGATGTAAAACAGCATTTGATCAAAGTAATAAATTATACTTATTTTACGTTTGTAAAGGTACACCTTTGTTAAGTTTTCTAAGCTATGCTTTTAAAAAAACTTTTCTCTTAAAAACTATAAAGAAAAACTAAGGTTTCTCTTTCTTTGTTACAAGTTGATATCTGTCAATCATGCACAGTTTTCAATTTTCACAACAGTGTGGGAAATGGAAAAATCCCAGCTCATGCTCAGCTTGTCAAAAGAACTATGCTGGGTCTTATAGAGCATATTTGAAATGAACAAACGAACAAGATACAAGGAAATGGATCTAGTACACTGGGTCAGTCTCTGTTCTCTTTAGAAACGTGGCATAAGTTAGAATTCAGGGGATGCCAAAAGCACCATCATCATGAAAAGCTTAGATGCAATACGTGGCCTTCACCAGGTATGCTGCTGGTCCCTTTAAAACGCTTGGCCAGAATCAACTCTAGCTGCAGTGTGGCCTCTTGCCAGTGCAATAAAAATCAGTTCTGTATCCACATGGCAATTCCCTGAGAATGTTAAGGAAGTAAGTCCTCCTATTTAGTCAATGAACACTCTTAACTGATTACCTGTGAGATAGACTTTTTTCCTTCCGAAGCGATCTGAAAGCTGACCAAAGGAAATAACTCCCACAAACACACCACTGAAGAAGAAAGAGCTTGCTGCACTGACTTTGTAAGATCTGTTGGCAATTAAAAACCACTAAAGGAAGAAAAAAGCAGAAGAGACATTTAGATCACAGAAAAGGTGGATGGACTGTTAGCTATTAAAAAAAACAAATGTACAACCAAAACTTGTACACTGGAAATTCTCTACCGCATTACCCACTACTAATCAAAATGTGGTAGATCATCTATCTTGGATAACATCCAAGGAGGTTTTGTCTTCAGAAACACTAGACATCATGATTATTATAATGTGCTCCCATAATACTCTATACACATCTTATTACAGCACTAAATATAGTATATAATAGCTAATTTTATTCATGCATCTGTGATGCATAAAATAGGTCCCTCCTCCACAGTCCTTGTATTTCTTGAGAGAAGGAGCCATGACCCACCCATTCCCATTTCTCTGCCGCCTTGAAAAGGAATGAGATTTTTGACAAGCTAGATCATAGAAAACCTTAACCTTATGCTGACAGAAATAAGCAGACAACAAAAGACAAATATGGTATGAATCTATTTATGACGGGGATATTGTGATTTATAGTAAGAATGGTGTCCATCCACTGTTATAGTAAGATGGTGTCCATCCACTGTTCCTGGCACATAGTTCCTGAAATTTCCTACAGAAGAGCCATAGGGGCATCTTTGGTTATGATACTCAGTTTTGATCCCAGTTCCTGAAAAAAACTTCAGAGCAATAAAGGAGAAATGGGTGTCCTTTGTTATTTATAACAAGCCTCTTTCAACCACACCTGAGTTTATTTAATAAGATGACGTTTGGAAAGGCCCTTAGATGGGGGCTGGTTGCCAGGGGAACCAACCCTCATGGTTAGAGGGTTATAACTTTCAGCCCCTCCCTCCCACCTGCCCCGCCCTTCGGGGAGGGGAAGAGGGACTGGAAGTTGAACTAACTGTCAATGGCCAATTATTTAATCAATGATGCCTATGTAACGAAGCCTCCCTAAAACACAAAGGGACAGGGGTTCGAGAAGCTTCCCAGTTGGTGAACACGTGGAGGTGCTAGGAGAGTGGGGCCCAGGGAGGGCCTGGAAGCCTGCACCCCTTCCCACATGCCTTGTCCTGTGTGTCTTCCATCTGTCCATTCCTGAGTTATCCTTCATGATAAACCAGTGATCTAGTGAGTAAGAGGTTTCCCTGAGTTCTGTGAGCCGCTCTAGCAAATTAATCTATCCCGAGGAGGAGATTGCAGGAACCTCTGATCTCTGGTCGCTCAGAAGCACAGGAAACAATGTGGACTTGCAACTGTCATCTGAAGGCGGGGGCGGGGTCAGCCTCGTGGGCCAGAGCCCTGAAACAGGTGGGATCTGAAGCTACCTCCGGATAGAAGGTGTCAGAAGGGTTCCCAGGGGCTGGGGGAATGGGGAGTTAATTGCTTCACGGGTACAGATTTTCAGTTTAGGATGATAAAAAAGTTCTAGAGATGGACAGCAGTGATGGTTGCATGACATGAATATACTTAATGCCACTGTACCCTTAAGATGGCTAAAAGTGTTACATTTTATGTTATGTATATTTTACCACAATAAAAAAAACCCACAATCCCTTAAGTACTATTCTACTTTAAGGAAACTCAGGAACTTAAAGAGAAAGCAGTCATCCCCTGTTTAAAATGCTATTACCTAAAACCCCATCTGGTGGCGTGTTAAGGAGATCTTTGGTTGTAAAGGTTTATAAGTGAAGCTGCCACACAGAGACAGACAACCAGGGAATGCTCATCTTTCCCCTTCACAGCCCCCTCTACTGGAGTCCGTGAAGACAGGCTTAGGAAGAGCCCCAATGCGCAAGGAGGCACCCCCCGCCCCCCGGCCTTGGCTGTCCTTCACCTCCTGGACCTCCCTTCCCTGGCTCCATCAAGGCTCAGAGCACATCTGACTTCTTCTCTTGTATTTCCTGTAAGACTGTGACGGTGAAGATCCTGACCAGACAGCTTCTGGGCATCTCTATGCGGCAACAACAATAACAAAATTCATGACGCTAGGGCAATAATATTCACTGGAAAATAAACAAGAATAAGGCCCCTTCACTAATGCTGGACTTGACTTCTAAAGTCCCCTGTTCTTTACATGCAGTTCTTAACCAGGTTAGTTAACTGGTTTTCCCAGCCCCTCTAGGATGAGAAATCGTCAACTAGGGTGTCACTGCTTTTAGAAATAGTAATCAGGAAGTTACTGATCCTGGTGGCACTCATGGTACAAATAAGAGGGATGGAAGCGATGTGACAAAAATCTGAGATATGTCCCAGACAGTTTTTCATTTGGGTATTCAATAAATTGATTCGTTTCTACTGAAGGTTAATGACTATACTAAACACTGGAAATACAGATGTGAATGAGCTGGACATGGTCCCCTCCCTCAGGGAGGGTAAGTGCCAGGAGAATAAACACAGAGGGAGAGACTGGGAGGGAACCTCTTCAAATAAGGGATTGAGGGAAGGCTTCTCTGGGGAGGTGACCACCCTGGAAAGCTGTTGAGAGAACATGAGAATAAGTGCCTTACCCTAAGGTAAAGCGCCCCCAGTGCGCCCCCAGCGGGGGTGATATGATGAGGCCAAGAGGTACACAGGCGTCAGATCACACTGGGCCCTGGGCCACAGTGAGCTGAGGTGTTATTCCAGTGCAAAGGGAAGGTGCTGCATTACTGGACTTAAGATTCTAAAGATCACTCTGGCCACTCTTAGAGAATGCATTACAACAGAGAAAAGTGGGAGCAGGGAGGCTACTGTACTAACTCAGGAGACCATGGCAGCTTGGATGAGGGTGGAAGCAATGGGGATGGAGGATTATGAGGACTTAGGATGGATGTTGAAGGCAGAACTGGCAGGACTTGCTGATGAATGACATATGGTGGGGGACAGAGAATCAAGGGTTTCACCTAAGTTGTTAACTTTGGCCACTCGGTGGATGACCTTTATTGAGATGAAGAAGGTGGCAAGCAGGGATCACGTATGTGGTGGGAAAGAAAGAGCTTTGTTTGGACTTGCAGAGGTTAGGATCTATAAAACACCCAAGTGGCGATGCCAAGCAGATACCTGGACATGAGTCTTGAGCTCCAGGGAGACGTTATGAGGGCTTATGAACCTACAGAGAGGGAAGAGGTTCAAGACTGGGGCCCGGGACACTGCCATGTTCAGAGGCTGAGTAGAAAAGACCCATTATAGAAAACTCCTAAGTTACAGTGTAGAGAGCTTAGCCTCTCACAGAAGTTGGGAGATGTCACTGCAAAGTAAAGCGAGCAAGAGAGGAAGGCAGAAGGTGGGCTCAGAAGCAGGGAGTGAAGAAACTCCCACCCGATTACTTCATTTCTTTTTCACTGAAGTATCAAGTGAGGTCACCAGCTGAAGGAGAGAAGTGGAGGGGGCATTTCAGGTTTCAGGAGGAATATGACAGACAGACTCCTCTCAGGAGTGAGACATGACCTATTCAAGGGAAATGTTGTGGGATTGCCAGGCCATGGTGAACAGACATTAAAGCTTTGTGGCTACTAATTTTGTGAGGAGGATGTTGGGAGTTAAGCTTACATAGAGCTGGGGACTTCCAGGAAGTACTACAAAGCGAGAGAGGCACCAGGACATTATGGGGATTTGCAAAGGAGTGATTATTGTAATAATGGAATATATGCTATTTAAGGAGAAAAGGCAGACATATGGGGATGGTGGGTAGAGAAATAATGTCATCATCAGAAAAATCCCCTACACCATTAACTTTCCTGTACTTCCCATTCTTGCCCTAATTGAAACTTGGTGATCCCTTGCAGAAATCATTCAGTGAACTGGATCCTTCTCAACTGGAGACTGCTTTTCCTTTTACACCCATGGACCTGAGAGCCTGGGATGGGAGAAGACAACCAAGCTTCAAAATCATCAAATCGTCTAAAAATCACATTACCAGACGGTGTAATCCACTACCCTTCTAGAGCTGATAGAGATGCTAGCTTGTTTTAAAATAACCACTCTTCCTCTCTTCCATAGTAATAGTATGTTTGCTGGGCATATGGCTACCCAGATTGAAGACTAATGTCCCAATCTCTCTCACAATTAGGTATGACACATTATCAAGTTCTGCACAATGAACGCAAACAGAAGCACCATGTGGCAGGTGCTTTGTGTTAAGAGACAGCTGATTTACCCTTTGCCCCTTCTTCCTTTCTATCCTAGTGCTTAGTATGTCCATATGAAAGCTGGAGCTTTATCTGGGGCCATGATGAAGAGGGCCACATCTTAGGGATGGTGAAGTTAAAAGCTGAAGGAGCCTGGGTCCCTGAGAACAATGGGGTAGGACCCAGGTATTGGCATATTTTTTAAGTTCTTCAGATGATTCTCATAGGTAATCAGGTTAAGAACCCCTGTCTTAGACCTGGTCATCCTCAATAGCTGTATCATCTCTGAAATCTTGATTGTGAATATCCTACTCGCTGTCCTCCCATCCCCTACTCTTCCAACTCACTTCCCCCAGTACCCTACTACTAATATTCTTGAGCCTGTTCAAGACCCCTGGTCACCACACTCTATAGTAAGTATGGCCTGAGTCAGCCAAAAAGATTAAATCATGGTAAGAAGATTTAAGAATGTGTAAAGAAAAGGGTAAAATATATTGTAAAATTTCACATAAAAGAGATTAGAAGAGTTCTGGAATTTGAAGGAGAAATTCTATTTTGTGAAAAATTAATTATTTTGGATTATAGGTAGTTCTGTGATAGAATTTTCAACTCATGAGAAATGTCTATGGTGACATTTTTCAGGTTAAAAAATAAATCAAATCTTAGATATCTGGTTGGCCTAGAAAATGGATGATTGTATTTGTCACAGGGATATTCCTTCTCCTACAATGGCCAATTAAAAAAGGCCTCATTGTACTCATTTTTAATAAACTGAAGTTTAAACAATTTCTTTTTATGTTTTTCATGGTGTTAGTGTTTGCTTTGGTGTTTTCATGCCTTCAAAATGTAGCCAGCACCTCTAGCTTTGATTATCCTGCACGTCAATTTTTCCTAGTCTGTTTATATGGCCAAGAT